TTCTGTCCTGATGGTGAATGGAGACCTGTATTGGGCTTATGCTCCTGGCCCACCTTTGTTTCATTTGGCTTCTGGGAGAAGATGTTATGCAGAGTGCCAGAGCCCGCCAGCACAGTTGAATAGTACCTGAGTGGGAAGTGAAGATTCAAATAATTAAAACAAATCACAATACACAAGGGATCAACTTGAGAGGGCTGTCAGTAATGACTGCAGCATGGGTTTATTCCAGAATTCATTTTTTATAGGCCAAGCAGAAACAAGTCACATCAATACAAAAAGAAAAGTTTGTGGAACCACCAAACTTTTCTAAAACTACTTCCCTATAGCAGATATGGTCCAAGGTGACACAGACAAGCTTTAAGGAACTTGGAACAAGTTTTAAGGAACTTGGCAAAACTTCCTCTTTTCTCTGTCTCAAGGTAAAGGCCAGGGTGAAAACATAACAAAGCAGCTTGACAAACAAGCAGCTCTCCACAGCAGAGAAACCCTTTATGCAATGTGACTGGACTTGATTGATCTGGTAATCAGGACAATTCTCAACAAAATCAGGAAGAATGAAAAAGAGGACTGACTATGGGATTTGGTCTGATTCTAGTTTTCAACTGAAGAGTATAAGTTAGTCTGGGTATAACTCCATTTTGAAATGAGCCATCTTGACTGGGAGCTGAACTCAGGTACCAGGAAATATCACAGAATGTACACTTGGCAGGAAACAAAGTTAACTCTCCTAGAAATGGCCTCCAGGAAATATCACAGAATAAATACTTAGTAAGAAATAGAGACAATCTCCCCTGGAAACAACCAATGGGAATTGTCTGGGAAAATTCTTCCCAATGTTTCAGATACAGTTTAGAAGAATAGCATTTGTGATTATGTGCCTCAGAGAAGGTCACCTCACCCTCTGACTTTTACCCAATCCTGTAGTTCCAAGGCATGTGGCCCCCTGCTTGATGTCATGGAAACCCCCTGCTTGCAGTCTTTCCCTTTAAAAACGCTGCTCACTCAGGGCTCGGGGTCCCACTTCTCTACTGCTGTGTGAGATTTGGATCCCAAGTTTGATCACTCTCATAATAAAGCTGTCTTGCTCTTGCATCGAGTCAGCTCCTGGTGGTCTCTGAGGGTCATGTGATCCTGGCATAACACAACAGACCTATATTTGGGGTCTTGCCATGCTTTGTTGTTTGGAAATGTTATACAAGATTCAAACTTTAATGTTTCTTGCCATCAGTGTAAGCTAACAAACTGTTATTTCTAAGCTTTCAAATGAACAACAGGTTCTGGTTGTTCAACAGCCTTTTATTATGTTCCCTGTAAATGTTTCTCAGGCTTTGTATTCTGATAAGGGGTCATCTTTTAAGTCACTTTTATAGAGTGTTATAGAACTTGGCTTATTAATGTTAAAGCTGATCTGCAAAAGATTAAACTCCAGTATCTACCCCAGCGGAGGTTGGTTGTAACAACTCTCTGAAGAATATTCAACCTAAGACAGGGCAGGAATGAAGGAATTCGTGTACCAATGATGGGTAAGAATGTATCTTTTAAGAGAGACAACCTAAGACAGGCACAATCTTCTGCTCCATAGCTCTGAAGTTATGGTCAATTTATATATATATATATATATATATATATATATATATATATATATATATATATATATATGACCTGTTGAGAGCTGCTTGTTTGTCAAAAACATGTTTTCAACCTGGCCTTCACCTGGAGACAGGAATAGGCAGAAAATTTTTTCCAAGTTCATTTTCTTTTGTGTGTAGATCACACAGACAGGTGGTTGAGGTAAACAAATTTGACTTCTGCATGAACCCCTTCATTGTATCAAGGTTCTTTGCTCTATAAAAAGGGATTATTGGAATAAACCGTGTGGCAGTTCTACTGGCTACCCTCTCGAACAGATCCCATGTGTGTTAGTTTATTAAATTTTCTTTCAATTCTTACTCCCCACTCAAGAACTGTTCAACTCTGCCAGTGGACTCCAGCAGGTGTTGATGATTATTAATATTTAATATTGATTTATCTTTTATTTAAACAACCATTATTCCTAAACCAGCTGTATACCCAAATCACCACACAGAGACTAGGATTAATTTAATTAACCTAGAGCACAATGCTGAGCAATAATTACTCCATCCTACACTTCCAAGCCTGCATAACTTCCTTCCATCCAGATTTCCCACATTATACTTGCTTTTTAGTCATATCTCAGATCCACTTCATTTCTTCTGATGTCTACAGGTCCTCTCTTCTTAGATCTCTCCTCCCACCCCATCTTTTTCCTCCCCTTAGGACCAAGATGTATCCCCATCCTCTCCATTGCTCAGCATTGGCTGGTTGTTTTTATTGGCAACAGAGAGAACACAGTGGCCTGTTTTCAGAAACTGGAAACAGGTGGTGTTTAGAATAAGCATCACAATGCAATGTCTGGATTGAAACTCAGTAGTGGGGTAGATAAATTAGCATTTGAATGAACAAGGGTAAATTGTATACATTCCACAAGAAGGGTAAACTAACACTTAGATAATATTATTTTCTTCTAAGATCTCTGATGGGGTTGAAGACTAGATAGTCATAATCCTACTACAATTAGCTTAGTTGTTAGGAACTAAGACAAAGTTTTAGGTCTAAAAAGATATTTTAAGGTCTAGATAGATGTTTTTAGGTTGATAGATACAAGATGTGATAAGAAAGTGATTTAGCTACAGAATTTTGGACTCACGAGGATAGGATAGATAATCAAGTACTTTTAAGGATTCCAAATACGAATGGCCTGGACATTGCAAATGTAATTTTTACCTGCTAATTCTCATAATTATACTTATTGTATAGTTTGTTAATGTTAGAGGGAAATTTTTTTTTAAACAAAAGGGATATGTAATGGAATTTTTGGGTTCTTTGTAAACTCAGTTATGTTATGTAAATATTTTTGTTTTAATCCCAAGTGTGGGATTTTAGTTTGAGCTTTAGTTTTTCCACAGCTGTTAACTGTCTCATGCAGGGTGTGGATTTTGCCAGCCACTAACGGTCTTTCTCTTACCTCATCTGACCTAGAGAGGAGCATGGTATAGGACTCTGGGAAATATAAATTTGAGAGCCCAGTAAGAAGTATTGCATGCAGTGTTGACTGTGTTTGCTGTTGACGGAGATTGATATAGCCCTTAAAAAGAACCCTTGACCTGAAACAGCTGGGAGAAGTAAAGGAGTCTGTGGCCCCTCTCTCTACTAACCTTCTCTCTCCTATGTAGGTAGGAAGGGAGGAAAAAGCTTTAAGGAAACTCAAATAGTTTAAAAACTAGTGCTACATAATGTCTCTCAGTAGGTATTGTTTTTTTTGCCTATTAGCATTTTAAAAATTTAAAGTTAATAAAGCATTATGTAATCTATCACTGAGTCTTTGATACCTTTCAGTTGTGTTGCTGATTATTAATATTTATTATTGATTTATCTTTTAGTTAAACAGCAGTTATTCCTAAAAAAGATGCATATCCACATTACCACAGAGAGACTATGATTTATTTAACCTAGAGCACAATAATGGGCAATAATTACTCCATCCTAAACCTCCAAGCCTGCAAAGCTTAATCCCATTCTTATCTCCCACATTATACTTGCTTTTTAGTCATGTTAGGTCCAGTTCATCTCTCCAAGTGTTTTCAAGTCCTCTTCTCTCAGATCTCTCCTTCCTGACTCTCTCCCACTCACTTCTTTCTCCTCCTCTCTAGACCAGAATGTCCCACCCTATTATCTCCATTGCTCAGCACTGGCTGGCTGTTTTATTGACAATACAGAGATCAACTGGTAGCATGTTTATATAAACTTGAGACAGGTGATGCTTAGAATTAGCATCACAATGCAATATCCAGATTGAAACCAGATAGTGGGGTAAAGAAATCAGCATTTGAATGAGCAAGGGTAAACTGTATACATTCCACAAGGACATTATACCAACACTGTTGGTTAAGCATATCTTTTAAAATATGATTAGATCTCTCTACAACGCTTGTACTGAAGGATTGTGTGGTGTACCTGTAATATGCTTTACATTATGATATGCAAAAAATTGCTTTTTACTAGAGACATATGCTAGACCATTGTCAGTTTTAATGTGCACATGTATTCCCATAATTGCAATGACTTCCAAGAAGTTTTTAATTACAGAATCAGCTTTTTAAAACTTAAAGCACTTGCCCATTGAAATCCTGAGTATGTGTCTACGGTATGGTGCACATATTTAGTTTTCTAAACTCTGCAAAATGAAACCATCCATTTGCCAAATTTCATTTGTTTGGGTACCTTTTGGGTTATTCCCTGCAGGTAATGGAGTTTGGTTACATAAAGAACCAGTAGGATATTTTCTTATAAATTCCTTGGCTTGTTTCCACGTGACAGAAAAATTGCTTTTTAAATCTTTTCTGTTAATACGGTGTTTCTTATGAATTTCTGAAGCTTCCACACATTTCCTATCAATAGCTCATCAATTTCATCATTACCTTGTGCTAGAGGGCCTGGTACACCTGTACAAGATCTGATAGGTATTATTGCAATGGATGATTTTTATCTCTGATCACTTGTAGTTGAAAAAACAGTGAAGTTAACTTTGAACCATCCTGCATAAGTTTAGCAATTTCTACATACAACTCATTCTGCATATTGAGTCAGTAACTGTATTAAGAGATTCAGGAAAATATAGTAATATGAGTGGCATACAACTCTGAGTTTTGAACTGAGGCATATAGGCTTTGAATTAGTTTTATTTTTTTCTAACATATAACCAGGCATTCCCAAATTACTTGCGTCAGTATAAAATGTAAGCAGTTCAAGAATTGTTCTTTTTACTATAGTAGGGAGAATCCAATTAACTCTTTTTATAAAGTGAAGTGGCCTGGTTTTAGGGTATTTCTTGTTAATTTCTCCCAGATTAGTTGCTATAAGCTCTTTGCCAATCTTCATTTGTAATAGCCCCAGAATAGCTGCACAAACCACTCAGACTCTGGTTTTGGTCAGATATGGTTTATTGAACACACACAAGACTGTGATGAGAGACACTGAGTGGACTCGGGAGCTAAAATGTGACACTGAACTGTTCTTAGGGAAGTGTATTTACAGGAAAACCAAGTGCAAAAGACAAGAGGAGGACAATGATACATTGCAATACATTTTGGCCAACTAGACAAAGTATTATCAAATAACCTTTAAGCTGACTGGTCCCAAGTGACATAAGTGAGGTGGTGGTTAAGGTATTCCAGAATACAAGCAAGGGCAGAGCCAGCATACAGTGTAACCAAATAAAGAGTGTAGCCAAGTGTGGAGATAACAGAGCATGACTGATGACACCACGGAGTCATAGTAAAATAGGTTAACTTGACTCTATGGCAGGGTTTGGTAGCATCAGCTATGAATAACTACTTCGAAGAAGTTAAACTTTAACTTAATTTCACCTTATGAACAAAAATGGATACTGAATATGAAATGGCTTCAGCTATGCTACAGTGAGCAAGCCTCAACACATTGATTAACCAAGATGATATAATCTCAGCGTTAGTATGAAGCACTACAATTTCTGTTGAGTCTGTTCCTGACACCTGGCATTTCTTCCTTTTAGAATCAAATCAGAAACTTTCTCTAGATACGTTTTAAATTTTTTACTTTGTATGCTAAGAAGATCCATTATAAAATACTATATTCCCTTTGCATAATGAGCCCAGTAGGAGAATGAAATCAGGGCAAAAACCAAAATACAGTCCCCTGCAAAGGCTTCCGAATTCTGTGGTTTTAGGGGGAGCTTTCAACAATCAGCAGCATGGAGCCCAGCTGAGAGAAGAACAAACCGAGAGAATCCTGCAGTGTGGACCCTCTGGCCATAGACAAGATGTGACCGCTGAAGTCCTTAGAGCAGATTTTGCAAATTTAGGGCTACTCCCCAGTATGGACCCTCTGGTGCTTGTGTAAGTATGAGACCCGACTGAAGCCCTTTCCACACTGCTGACATGTGAAGGGTTTCTGTCCTGTGTGGACCCTTCTGTGAGCAATAAGTGTAGTGTTCCATCTGAATTCCTCCCCACACTCCTCACACTTGAAAGGTTTCTCCCCAGTGTGAATTATCTGATGGATTTGGAGATAGGACCTCTGGGTGAAGGCTTTCCCACATGTGTCACATTTGTAGGGCTTCTCTCCCGTGTGTACCCTCTGGTGGGCCTGGAGGTGCGAGGCATGACTGAAGCCTTTCCCACAATCCTCACATTCATAGGGTTTCTCTCCCGTGTGAACACTCAGGTGACTCTGGAGGCTCAAGCTTGCGGTGAAGTGCTTCCCACACACATCACACCTGCATGGTTTTTCTCTGGTGTGAATTCTCTGGTGGGCTTTAAAAGTTGATCTCCAACTGAAGGCCTTCCCACACACACTGCAGCAAAATGGTTTCTCTCCTGTATGGACCTGCCGATGGCTTCGGAATTGTGAGCCTGCACTAAAACCCTTCCCACACTCTTCACATTTATATGGCTTCTCTCCTTTGTGGACCCGCTGATGTCTTTGAAAGCTGAAATTTGAGCGAAAGCCCTTTCCACATTCATTGCACTCATATTGTTTCTTCCCAGGGTGGACTCTCAGGTGCCTGTTAAGGTTTGAGCTATGATTGAAGCATCTGCCACAGTCTCCACACTTATATGGCTTCCCTCCTGTGTGATTTCTCTTGTGAATTTGTAGGTACGCCCACTGCATGAAGCCCTTCCCACACTCCTCACATTCATAGGGTTTCTTTCCCATGTGGACACTCAGGTGACTCTGAAGGCTCAAGCTTGAGGTGAAGTGCGTCCCACACACATCACATCTACATGGCTTTTCTCCCATGTGAACTCTCTGGTGGGCTTTAAAAGTTGATCTCCAACTGAAGGTGTTCCCACACACACTGCAGCGAAATGGTTCCTCTCTTGTATGGTCGCGCTTATGGCTTCGGAAGTGTGAACCTGAACTGAAACCTTTCCCGCACACTTCACATTTATATGGCTTCTCTCCTACATGGACCCGCTGATGGCATCGAAGGCTGGAATTTGAGCAGAAGCCCTTCCCACATACATTGCACTCATATGGTTTCTTCTCAAGATGGGATCTCTGGTGCTTATGAAGGCTTGAGCTGTAATTGAAGCATTTGCCACAGTCTCCACACTTAAATGGCTTCTCACCTGTATGTATTCTGCTGTGGATCTGGAGGTGTGCCCACTGTGTGAAGCCCTTCCCACACTCCTCACACTTGTAAGGTTTCTCTCCAGTGTGCACTCTGCAGTGGATCTTGAGATCCAAACTGCTCCTGAACCCTTTCCCACAGCTGTCGCACTGGTAGGGCTTCTCTCCTGTGTGAATTTTCTTGTGGAATGGGAGGTGTGACCACTGTGTGAAGCCCTTCCCACACACCTCACACTTGTAAGGTTTCTCTCCAGTGTGCACTCGGCAGTGGATGTTGAGAGCTGAGCTGCGGCTGAAGGCTTTCCCACAGCTGTTGCACCGGTAGGGCTTCTTCCCCATGTGCACTCTCTGGTGAATCTGAAGGTTCGTGCTCTTACTGAAATCCTTGCCACACTCTAGACACTGGAAGCGCTTTTTTCCTGGATGAACATTTTGTTCATTGGGGACACTGGAGCTATGCCTGGTGTCCTCAAGTGTACCACGTACAGAAAACTTCTTTCCCAACAAGACCTGCTGATGGAGTTCTAAACCAGGGCTATCAATGGTGGCTTTTTGGCCCTTGCTGCACTGGTAGGTCTTCCCTTCTGTGTAAACACTGTGCTGGGTGAGGGGTGACTCGGGACAGATGACTTTATCACAGTCATTGCTCCTGTGGGCTTTGTCTCTTTGATGCAGTATATTGTTATCAAGGTGGGAAATGCAACCCAGAAGGTCAACACCCAGAGCCAACAGCCATTGATTGTTTTTCACCAGAGTCTGTGGATAGTGTTTCCAATGGTTCTGCCTCTTTTTAAGATATGTTTTAATCCAAGAACTCTGAGCTCTCCCAGACAGAAATTTGTGATTTTCAGTAATGCTAGTATGGTCATTTGTGAGACCCTGAAGACAGCCATCATCCTTGGAGGCCCAGGAGGGCTCTTGTACTCCCCAATGGCAGGAGAAGTGGCATTGCTCCAGGAAGTGAGAATCCTTTTCTTGAGTGTTTATTACAGGTTCTGGAGTTCTGGCAAGTTTGTTGACATCATAGCTTATCACTGGCCAGCATGGAGGTTGTACCAGTGAAAGGTACTTTAAACTTGTTGCATCAAGATTCTCCATCTTGTTTGGACTCTGACATCCTGAAAGAATAGAGAATAGATGGTGATATCAGCAAGGATGTGGACATTGAAGAACTACGTCCCCATTTCTCTTTGGAAACATTAAACAGACAACAATAACAAAAATAAAGAATGTCCAAGAGCAGGGGGAAGGTCCTCAAAAAACAAGGTAGATCTCACCTGCCAATCTAAAGCTGGAGATGTCCTGAAGGATTAAGAAAGGTTGCAACACTATCTGACAGGTCTCCCAAGTAAACGAGAAAATGACCTGAGCACAAATTATCAGGATGCTAAACAATGATGGTGACATGAACAACTTCTGAAGCTGAAAACAGAACCAAGATCTAATGGTCCTAAGACACAGCTCAGTGGCTTGCATGACACACTGAGAATGGTTAATTTCAGTGGGAAAAAGAAGTAGGACTAGGCTGTGGGTTGGGAGAAGGATGCTCTTACAAGGAACACAGAAGGCTTTTTGGAGATGGACATTGCTGCAGTGAAAAGGACATTGTTACACCTAAAATGAAAGCAGTGGACTGTAACCAAGACAATGAATGTGAACTTCTGACACTGCCTAGGGACACAGGGCACCATCCTCACCCACTGACAGAAGGTTCCTGAAGTTCTCCAGCATCACGTCATGGTACAGCTTCCTCTGGGCAGCATCCAGCAGACCTATCTCCTCCTCACTGAAGACCACGGCCACATCCCTGAATGTCACGGCCTCCTGTGACAAGACATATGCCACATATGCAATGTCACTACAACCTGAGCAACTGTTTACACAGAGCCTATTATCTTAGGTAGAGTTGCTATTGCTGGGAAGAAACACCATGACCAAAAGGCAAGTTGGGGTGGAAAAGGTTTATTTGGCTTACACTTCCACATTCCTGTTCATTATTGAAGAAAAGCAGGACAAGAACTCAAGTAAGAGCTGATGCTGAGACCATGGAAAATCTCTGAGTTGGAGGCTAGCCTGATCTACAGAGTGAGTTCCAGGATAGCCAAACTACACAGAAAAACTGTCTTGGGGGTGGAGGTAGAAAAAAAGAAAAAAAAATCCTAAATAAGATGAAGGCCTTTGGGAACCTTTTGGCACAGACATGAGGCTCATTCTGTGTGTGGAGCCATAGAATGGCTGTTTGATTCTTGCCTGCGTGGAATCTATGATGCACATTGAGCCTTGCATGGTACCATGATTTCTCATCCCTGGACCGCAGGTGCTGCTTTGAGCTTTGTAGAGGTTTGTTCAACCGTTTAGACTTGGCAGGTATTCGGCATGAGAACTCGCCTCCCGCTTATCTGAGAACTGTCCTCCCGCTTTTATAATTCCTTGAGAATATCCTGCTTTGCGATTTTCACTGAGACTAGTTCCTCCCCTAAAACTGCCCATTCTCACTCTTTATAAGCTGTAACCTTAAGGAACAATAAACTGAGACTTGATCAGAATTCTGTCTTGTCTCCATTCTTAGTGTCTCCTGTTCCACCCCATTCCCACACCCCCCTCCAGGTTCCATGCTGACAGTCCTGCGGGTCGAGACAATTCTGTGTCCTCGGGAACATACCTAAACACATGGTGGTGGAGTTCTGCATAATAGGTGCAAGCACAGGCTCTGCAAACCTTAAGGACCTCAGTTTAACTTCAAGGCTCTGGCCTGATGAGCTTGGGTCTCTATCTGTATACCAGTATCTATAACACAATGTCCCTGAAGGGATTAAACGAGACCACAGAAAACACAGGACAATGTTTGATATGCATTAAGCAGCCAATATATGGCCAGCAACACTATCATCATTGTCTGTATTATGCCATACATGGCTACATAGTGTTCCATGAAGGCAGCAATATATATATATTATATATATTGCATATATAATATAATGTGACACACACACATATATATATAAAACACACCATCCATATACACACAATAAAATAAATGTAAAACAAATATTTAAGGTAAGTGAAAATTTCAGAAACTGCTATTTTTAATCACTTACCAAAGTATACAATTTTTAAAAAATTGTCCAGTTTAGGCCAAAATACAGAGAATCGAGGATACTTACTGCCTACAAATTAACTGGAAAAAAATCACTACTGTTATTAACAAAATAAGCATTTGCACCTTGGAACTGATTGCATTGGGCAGCTGGAGAATTTGGCTGAACACTGCATAAAAATATACTCTTTTGCAGTAGTATTCATGTTTCAATTTACTGAATCTTGCCTCCTTGGTGTTCAGTAAAGTATAATAAATGTGCTGATTTTCCAGGATGTTGGTATGTCTCCATCAGAGCACATGGCTAATTCAATTCCAGCTTGACTGTACATGTGTCTGTGTGTCATTCTTTCCTTCATTCCTTTATCACCCGAGATGAGTTGACCCCAAAAGCTGGGTAGAGGGTGGCAGCCAGACCCTCCCTGATTACTCAAGATGTGAATGCTCTGAATGCCAAATGCAGGAAAGGAGGGTCAGCAGTGTTCTGTGCATGTGTGTACACATGCATGCATGTAATGTCTGTATGTACATGAGGATGCACATGCATGTAGAGGCTGGAGGACAACCTCTGGTGTCCTTCCTCAGGTGTGTAGAGGAATTTTAATTCAGACCATGACTGTTCTGGCAAGAGTTCACATCCAAAGTTCTTGTAGGTCTGTGTGATCCAGCTGGAAGTCAATCTCAGGAGACAGAGGCAAGACCAGCCTGATATAGAGCAGGTTGCAGATAAAGAAAAGCTTAGGTCCGGGCTTGGTGGTACATGCCTTTAATCCCAAACAATGAAGGTAAAGTTAGTTTGTAGAAGGAAGCACCAATGTTTGAAAGTTATGTCTAATTGAATGGCAGCAACAGTGACGAACCAGAGAAAGACATGACAAAATAGGATATGCCCAACTCTTATGAAAGAGAAAAGGAAAGATACTTAACGGGCAATGACAGAGAAGAGGCAGTTTTCCTGAGAGAGTTTTACAGTGGTAGGTTGAATGAAAGAACAAGCTAGACAAAGGTAAAGACAGAACAAGCCAAAGGATTAGAGCAGATTGTTGGAGTCAGTTTGAGGCCAACAATCTCAGGGCTATTCAGGGGCTGAGAGAGAAGCTGGATTTAATAAGTTAGCTGGGAGAGGAGTTTGAGCCAGAACAGCTGAATTGAACCAGCCTGCCATGAGCTCAGAGAACAAGAAAAGGTGAGCTTATTAAGCAGTAAGTCTCAGAGACTGACAATATTCTAGAACTACGTTAGATTGTATGGAGGCTAGAAGCTTCCAGGACTAGGCCTAGGCTAGCAGGAGGAAGTAAGCCTCCTAGACAACAATTGAACCAGGAAAATAAAAGTTCATTTTACACAAGTGCTAGCCATGTTTGTTTGGTTTTTGAGTCAGGGTCTTTCAGTGACCTGGAACTTGCTCAGTAGTCTAGGATGGCTGCAAACTAATACCAAGGATCTGCCTGTTTCCAGAGAACTAGAAACAGCAGACATTGCTACAGCAAGGTGGAAGCAGAAATCCCAACCTCTGTGTTGGGAGCCCTGGCTCTGGCAGCTGCTTTGATATTTAAATCTTTTACCAGGCCTTCCCTGAAGTCACGGAAGAATTTGCAAATCCATCTCCTTTTGTTTGTGACAGCAGGTCACACCTCTTGCTTCACCTCCCCGTGAATTTAACCCATTGTTCTGAGCTGTTTCTACTCTGGCTTAAAAGCTCTGTGCAATAAAAAAAAGTCAGGCTGCTGCTACTGATTGAGTCTGGAACCTCTTAAAAAGTCTCCTGTTTGCTAGTTTATTAATTTTAATCCTCACTCCCAACTCAAGAACCTTTCGACTCTGCTGGTGGCTCCGGCACATCTGTCCTCTGTCTATATACATGCCTTGGCATGTCACAACCAACCTCCTCATACAATAATGATAGTCCAAATTTTTAAAATAAAAAAATTCATAAACTACATGAGCATGGAGAACAATTTACTTGTAAAATAAAATTAGGTAAACTGGAAAATTATGTCACTTTAAAGTTTTAAGTGAACATAAAGTTTCAAATAATGAATGTAAATGCCCTGTGTCTGACTGTGTGTATATGTGTGTGCAGTGCCCTGCCAGGCCAGAATAGACTGCTGGATTCCCTGGAGTTAGAGATACAGGCTATCGGGTGTGGGTGAGGGGTACCCAAATGAGCTAGTGCTCCTAACTACTGTGCAACCTCTAAAGCCCACTTTCTTGACATCAAAATTTATTTACCTTTTTACACAGTCACATGTGCAATGTCCTCTGAGCACATGTCCCCACTATCCTCTTTTCCCTCCATCCAAACCTTTCTTCTCAGCCACATCTCCTCATGCTTTCATGCAGTTCAGTGTGGCTCTGCTGCACAGTGCTTGTCCAGCATGCAGGGGTCCTGTTTTCATTCCCTGGTGCTGGGGGGAGAGGGGAAGCAAGGCTACTTACCTGTAACTTCATCATGGTTCTCTTCTCTTTGAGACAAGGCAGGGCTCTGGCAAGCAAGATGGGGGAGGAAAGGCTTTCATGAGAGCTGTGCTGGGACAGTCAACCACATGGCTTCCTCAGCTTTCCCACCAGCCCCAAGTGCTGGCATTCCAAGTCTGTGCACACAGACCTGGATTTTCTACCTACTTCCTATTTACTGGCAGAGTAAGCCTCCAGGTTACCAAGTCATCCATGCCTCAGCTCACTCATGGCAGATAGTTAGGAAAGGACATGATCTTTATTTCCAGCAGATTCAGGGGTGGTGGGCGCTCTTACCTACACAAAGCTGCCTTGGTGATGGGCTTCCCAGGAAAGCAACCTTTAAGAAGCTCCTAACTCTCCAAGGAACGCTGTGTCATGACTGAACACCCCCTCAGAAGGGTCTGGTAACTGTGATGTCTATCTTACATACAACTGTTTCCGTACAGAGGAATGAAACCCCCGTCTCTCGCTCTGAAAGGTTTAAATACTAGTAAACCTTGCTCCTCCGCAAGAGCCTCTACAATGTCTCTTTTCCCGAGTTCATGAAGATAATGACCAATAAACACTTGAGCGAGGTGGCTCAGCGGGGAAGGGTGACTGCGCCCAGCCCGACCGCCTGAGTTCCAGTCTCTGCACAGCACATGGTGCAAGGAGAGACCCGAATCCCACAGGTTGTCTTCTGACCTCCTCCACGCACAAGCTGTGGCACGCTCCCTCGCTAAGGAAGGAAGTAAATAAACAGACTCATGGAAAATCATATTTAAAAGCGCAGCTGCACACCACTGAGGGCTTCAGCGCACCGGCCTCGGTCCTCCAGCTCCTCCGCCGGGCTCCGTGGGAAGCTGGACTCTCCCGGGGGCTCCGGCAGCAGCTGAGACAGTCCAGGGCACCCGGGCAGCGCCGCCCCAGGCAGAGCCCAGCGACAGAGGACCCGGCCCCCGCCGCCCGCTTCTGCCCGGGCCGCGGCCTCGGTCCCCGAGGGGAGACAGCGGGCGCGCGAGCGCTCACGAAGGGCCCGGGACGCCCCGGATCTCGCCTCACCAGGAGCTCTGGCAGGAAGCGGACCCTCGTTTGAGCGGAAGCGACCTTGGCGGCCTCAGCTACAGGAACTACTATTCCCAGAATGCCTCAGCTGAAGCCCGAGCGTCTGGTGCCCTTCCTGAACTACATTCCCCAAACACCAGCGTTGCTAAGGTCCAAGCTGTTTATTAACTAGAGTGAGGTCCTGGGAAGTCGCTTTTCAGGAGGTCGCTCTCTTGGATTGTTTTTAGGTTTGTTCCCTTTTTTTTTTTTTTGAAATGCTATGAAAGACAACAATGGATACTTTGTTCTTTTCGTTTTAGGTTTTTCCGAGACGGTTTCTCCCTGTAGCCTTGGCTGTCCTGGAACTCTGCAGACCAGGCTGCCCTGGTCACAAACATCCATCTTCCTCTCCCTCCCGAGTACTGGGATTAAAGGCGTGGTAAAATTTTTTTAGTCTATAGTTTGTCTGTAGTTTGAATTGAGTAATTTCTATCATGCTGTCAGTTCATTCATTTTCTCTTCCGCCATCAATATATACTAATTTAATTAGTGTTCAAAAAATTATATATGTGTTGTTTAGCTCTGTAATTTCCATTGAAAGATATTGACTTTCCATCCACAGTTACAGAGAGTTATTCTCTTTCTAAAACTCCGACTTTAAAGTCCAACCCGCCTACTAAAGCCAGTAGAAGTCAAGGGGGTAAGATTTACTTTTCATGCAGTGCTTCCAGAGTCCAGAAGAGGGCGTAAAGTCCTGGACCTGGACTAACAGGAGGTTGTGAGCCACTCAGTGTGGGCACAGAGAACCCAACCTGGGCCCTCTGCCAGAGCAGCAAAAGCTCTTAATCACTGAGCCTTCTGTCCAGTTCCAAGGATTTTCTTCTAGAGATGATGTTGACATTAAACACAAGGTCTTTAAAATGTTTCACACATGTTTTTCTGCTGAGGTACAGCCCCAGACCATCATTGGTGGATTCTAAGTAAGGACTCTACTGCAGAGCCCGTCACCCTGCTCAGGGATGCGTTCCTTAAATTGTGAGCTCCACCCTTGAAATGAAAACAAATCCAGTGGACCAGCCATGTTGGCGCATGTCTTTGATCCCAACATTCATAAGGCAGAAGCAGATGTGTTATAATAATGATTAAGATGCCACGGAGCAGATCTGGTATGACGGAGATTTATTGTGGGAAGAGGAGGGCGCCCATGACAGAGAAGAAAAGACAGAGAGACACAGAGGGAGAGAAACTGAGCGAGCTAGGGAGGCTGGCGGGTCCTTTTTATCTGGCAGGTAATGACGTCAGAGGTTACTAGGCCCCTAAAAGGCTACTGGGAATGCCTGTATCCTAACAAGGTGGATATGTGATTTTAAGTCAGCCTTGTCTACATAACAAGTTCCAAGACAAAAGGCTGCAGTGAGACAAACAGAACCATCAGAACGAAAACAGCCCCGGAGAGATCGGTAATAGATAAACCTCATTTAGAAACCACTCCTGCAGTAAAAATAAGCTCTGTACCTCTGGCATGGTACAGACATCTGAAACAAAAAGGGAAATACATTGGCAAAAAAAAGTAAAAAAAATAATGTATTGGCAAAAGATCCTGGGAAGAGCTCTTGAGAGGGAGGCCCCTGCATGAGTCCCCGAAAACTCAGAGCTTCTCCCAACATGTGCCTGAAGATGCTCTCACAGACGGATGCAATGGAGAGAGGGCTCCAGAGAGCGAAGCTGTGCCTCTCTGAGCCCTTTGCCAGAGGACCTGAGGTGGGAAAACTCCTTGTGCAGGCCATGGATTTGGACCTAACAGCTTCCAGGGAGCCCTGTGGGCAGGGAGCAGGAGGCCCTGCCCTGTTGTGCTGTAAGCTAGTGAGCCTGCAGCCATTGTCTCCTTAACTAGCTTGGAGCCACTAAAGTCACATTCTCCTGTTGGTATAATGTCCTTGTGGAATGTATACAATTTTCCCTTGTTCACTCAAATGCTGATTTCTCTCCCCCACTATGTGGTTTCAATCCTGACTTTGCCTTGTGATGCTTAGAATAAGCATCACCTGTCTCAAATTTGTGTAAACATGCCACCATTTGTGCTCTGTATTTTCAATAAAACAAACAGCCAATGCTGAGCAATAGAGAGAATAGGGTGGGACATCCTGGTCTGGAGGGGAAGAGAAGGAAGGGAATGGGAGAGTTGGAGGAGAGAGATTGGCAGGAGAGGACTTGGAACCATGAGGAGAGATGAACCAGACCTAAGATATGACTTAAAGCAAGTATAATGTGGGAAATCTGAGTGGTAGGAAACTATGCGGTCTTAGAGGTTTAGGGTGGAGTAACTATTGCCCAGCATTGTGCTCTAGGTTAATTAAATAAATCACAATCTCTGTGTGGTGATTGGGTATACAGCTGGTTAAGAAATACCCACTGTTTAACTAAAAGATACACCAATATTAGATATTAATTGTCAACAACAAATGGCTCACCAGTGTGGGGTCGAATTTACAGTAATATAGCAAGAACTTACATAGAAAGTAAAACTATAGAGCAGTTTTTTTAGTTCTGTTCCTTAAAAACAAAGCAAGCAAAGGCGGTTTCTAAATTAGGATCTCACAGATTCTTTATTAGACAGAGGCCATCTAAACAGTAAGGCCTCCAACCAGCTGCAGAAAAACAAAAATTGATACATACAAATCCCAGACAAGGCAGTTTCTTTAGGTAGAGAAAAAAAAGTGGCTCTTTAACAAGGAAGCTTCTCAAAGCCAGACTTTAGTAGCCAAGGTAGAAAGTAAAATCCTTTTGAGAAGGGGTTCTTGCCTGTCTGAGGAGCAAACATTTGTGGACCCAATAACTTCCCAGAGTGAAGAAGTGGTCAGGATCCAGTGAGGGAGGCAGAAAAAATGACTCTCCCTGGAAGTAGGAGCCAGAGACAGACAGAGAAGCCTCAAGCATCTACTGGTAATGTCTAGAAGGGAACCTGGGTCTAAGAAAGTAAAGTCCGTAGGAAAAGGTTTTGAGATTAAAAAAGATAATTTTCTATGTTGAAAATAGAGGAAGACACAATGACACAGTGCTTCTGGGTACCATTCAAGTTTGTTTCTCTTAGCATACACATAATTTTTTCACTGATGATTTCAGTTTTGTGTATCCTCTTCAGGAAAGATCAGGATAAGACAGACTTGGAGAAAGAAGAGACTGAGAAAATAGATACTAAATTAAGGCCATAGAACAGAAGTTGGGGGAATCTTTGAATCAAAAGAGAGGCCTTCAGAGCAATCCAAGCTGGTACTTACAATAACACCAAAAGAGGTGGTTCCAGATGAGAAAATTCCACAGAAGCTCGAAGATATTGCAAAATGGCAGCCCATTGAGATGCTGGAGAGAAAGTCTTCAGCTATAGGCCAGCTTGGACAGACTGGATATTGTATGTGTATTGTCAAGGTTCAATTACTGGGTGAAGGCCTATATGCTAAAGTAGAAATGCTGATCCTGTTTAGTGTTGGAACAAGGCCATACAGTGACTGGTGTACTTCACTTTATAGAGTTTGGAGAACTGAAATACATGCACCATGCCATAGATTCATATTCAAAAATCCAGTGGGCTTTTGCCTTAAATTCTGGAGAGCATGATCCTAAGGTTACACATCTGTTAGAGATGGTGACTGTTCTGGAGATGCCCTTGCAAACTGGGGCTGATGGTGCTTCAGCATGTATATCCATTGGAATTCAACAATATTTTAGACATTATGACGTGAAACCCATTATATATATAATTTATAATCCTACAGGTAAAAAAAATTTTGAAAATATCTAACAGTAATTTTAAAAAGATGGTCATAAAACAGAAGGGAAACATATAATATCTCCCCAGAGTAGATTAAATAATGATGTATCAATTTTAAAATGTTTAAATGAGAGAAGTAGCACACCTACTAAGACACAGTGGAGTTTAGAAAGGACTGCAGAATTAGAGAAGCATATAAAGTTCCTAATTCCAAATTGGAAAACAGGGAATGTGTTAAGCTGGGGAAGAGGTTTTTCATATATTCATATAGGAGAAGAGAAATTATGGGTTCCAACAAACTAACAAAAATCAGAAATGACAGAGGAAGACCACCTGATGATTTTGGCCACACACAAGAGAAATCAAGAAGAGTAAACAGAACAGGTAACATAAATTGATGAGCCCTTTACTTGGGAACAACTCTGAAACTGACTGAGACATAAAAATATCTCCTCTCCAGTCAGAACTTCAACAATAGATGGCCAATAAATCCTTGGCTACAATACCCTCAACATTTTTTATGCCATTCTTTTAATTGACATAGATAACATTGGCTTACAGTTTAGCTTCATCCTGCGCGTCTCATACATTTATAGTCTAGGCCTGTGCAATGCTGAATACATAGTGCACAGCCCCTTCTCCAACATCTCCCCGTTTAGTTCAGTAACAACAGTCCATATAAATTATGAACACATATTAAAACTATCAGGTAAGGATTGCATCCATCATGTCCAGTACAACTGTACCTGGGAACTTTGGAGAAAGTGCTCTAATATCTATCCTATCTTAGTGAGTTTAGAGTTCTGTACTTAAATCATTTTCTGTCGTAGCTTGTAATTATCAACCTACAAAATCTACTTAGACCTAAAAGTAACTTTTAAAACATTTTCATAAATCCTAAGCAACTTAAGCTTAATTTTGAGACTATAACTATCTAGTCTTTAACCCCACCAGAGACTTGAGATTAAAGAAATATTACCTGAGTATTCAGGAACTGAGAGAAAGCAGCTTCCAAAACTATAGAGTTCACAGAGACAGATGGCGGCCTGGACAGCTACCCAGCATTTTTCTATAACATTGGGACATCCATCTTCAGCCACCTGGCCCAGTATATGACAGATTTTTATAAAGTAGGAATTATGAAGGACTTGCATACCTTGTCCTGGCAAAGCTCAGTAGTCTGCATCCCTGAGTCCAGTTTGTCCAGTTTGGACAGCATTTTGTCTGTAGTTTAGGAAGGGGAAGTTCCTTGCCCAGTGGCTAGCATGTCGCTTTTGAAGCAAACTCCAT